CTCGAGGGGACTGGAGGAGATTGTGAAAGGTCATCTTGTCCTTCCCCCAGCCTCCAAGCAGGACTGCCCCTCCCACCCTAGACCCGGACATACCAGGGAAGGAGTTGGCTCTGCCGCTGCTTCTGCCCCAACATGCACAGGCTCGGGGAGGTCTTCCTGGGGTTTTATCTCAAAGCCTCTCCCTTACAATTTGTCTCTCTTTTGGGAGAGGAGGAGGGGCGATTATAGAGATAGTTAATGTCTGCCGTACAAGAAACATTATTAAAGTTACTCTTCCGCCTTTGCCGTTCTTGATAAACACTTCTCACTCCTGCCTCACGAATTCTATTTTCCGTTCTTTAAGACACTTTAATGGCTCTTCAATGCAACAATATTTACTGAGTGCTTACCAAGCACCGGGCGCTGTGCTCAACACTGGGGGAGATGCAGACGGGAGGGGGATGTGATACTTTCTCCCGACGCGATCATAGCCCAAACAGTGGCTGCACACTCCTAAGTGGCATACTCAGATTTAGTCAATATTTACTCGATGCTTGTTCACGTATTTAGCAGAATGATATCTTTCCAGTAATCCCCTAATATAAGCTCCCATTTACAGGTAAGAAAAAGGTGCTTGAGATCCTTCCTTCCACTGACCTGCGAATTCAGAGATCCTCATCGCAAGGCCTACATCTCAACCTTGCCATTAAATAGAGCCAACCCTCTTGGTGATTGCAAAGAGAGGAACCAGGCACAAACAGAAGTCTGGTTCCCTTTAAACTGCGATTCCCGGTGCCCAAGAAATCAGCATGGACACAGTGCTCCTGTGATGTTGGCTCAGCAGTGAGTAGGGCAGAAGTGGCTCGTGAGGAAAGCCACTTTTCTTCCCTTTCTGCTGGGCCTCAACTCCCAGGGATCTTCTGACTCAGTTTTTTTTCCCCCTCCGGTGGTTATAAATAATAATAGCCACCTTTTTTTATGGGTATGTGCTGGGTTAAACTAATTCATAAGCATTTTCTCTTAATGCTCAAGGCAACCCCATGAGATTGGTATTATTAATTTCTCTTTATAGATAAGGAAACGGATTAAGCAACTTGACTGAGGTCAGCCAGAAAGATCAGGGACACAAACACAGGTAGTCTCATCTCGAGACCTCAGACTCTTTCCTGTATTTGATCTGTAAAGCAAACATTCTGGCCAGTTGGTTCTCTAGTGTGGAAATAACTTTGGAGTAAGCCCTATAGAATATGGGCAACGAGTAAGTCTGTTTGGCCGTCTCAGCACCTGTAGTGGTGCTCCAATCACCCAGGAATCAGCTACCCTTCAGGGGCATATTGTTGTTAACTCTGCTTTCTCAGGGAATAAACTAAAGTTCAAATAGGTAAATTAATGTCACAATAATGCAGCCAGGATCACCAACCTGTAAAAGTGGCAGAACTGAGGTTCTAGCCCAAGCTACAGGAACCTTTTTCTCTCAAAAACATTGTTGGTGTAGTATCCTTTTCAAGGCTGTACACTTGGGCACCTGGGTGTTCTTCACTGAGTCAGAAACAACCTGCACTATATACAGGCATTTCCCTCCATTTAATCCATTAGTCAATGTCCAATTCATACAAAAGGAAAAAAAAAAAAAAAGCCTTCAAGAAAAGAAGGAGCAAGAGCTGAGCTCCGTGGTAAAGTGCTTGCCTAGAGTTCACAAAGCCCAGGGATGGATCCCCAGAAGCAAGGAAGAGGGAGAAACTCCAGAAAAGCCAGGGAATGCAAACTGCTCTGGAAACAGAGTTCCAGGAGGAACAATCCAGATTGTAACACCAAATCTCACTAGGGCAGAACATGTAATTTGAGGAGGGAGCCCAAGAACAAAGACTAGATGGAAATAAGGGGAGATTGAGGTCTGGGATGATTATGTACATAGGGATGAAGTAATCGAACCCTGAAGAAGATAGGGAGAAATAGGGCAACTGGAACTGGGAAGGAAGAGTGAGGCGGCCTGGGTGGCTTGTGGGGTGAATCGAGGCTGATGTCTACGTAAGGCCACTCCCTGGATCCTTAGGCCCTCATAGTGATCTTTGCCCCACCACACCTCAGCTCTGACAGACTATGTGCCAAGAAAATTTTGCACTGAGCTACCAAGGTCCTAAGGAGTACTGGGACCCAGACGAGTTCCAATCCCTTGGAGTGGCTGCTTCAAACTAGGTAGGTGTAACATTCTGGTCCTCAGCTCTGAATTGGGAGTAGGCACAGGGGTAAGTGAAAGAGATGTTGTGTGTTCTCATTTCCTGAATGGTCCCGTGATGAATTTTTTCCAATCCAGGAAGCACCACTCACATAGTCAAGGGAACCATGGATCATACAGCTGACCTGCCAAGGCAGGAGAGACCCAGCCTTCGTCTGGAAAAGCTACAGCACTGGGCAAGACACAGGCAAAGTGGACACCTATTGGTGGTGGCGGTGAGGCCAGGATGCCCTACTTCAGGCTTTGGCTAACTATACCCAGTTCAATTCCAATCATATTCAGTGAATACATACCAAGTACCAGATACAGTGCTAGGCCGGGGGTGGGGGTGGGGGTGTAGAAATTAACAAGGTAAAACCATACATTTCCAAGTAGCTTGCCTTTGGGGAAAACATAAAGGTAAGTAAACTATAAAATGAGGCAGAAGAAAAAAATGGCATCTAATTTTTAAATTTCACCTTTTTAACTGCCTTTTTAAACTTTCCTCTATCGTGCGTTTATCCCAACTACTGGTATCTAAAGGATGAAAACATTGTGAGGAGGAAAGAGAATCTGACAGTCCCCTCTAATGACCCAACTCTGGCCTCCAGGTGAGCCAGCTATGGCTGGCAATAGCCATGGTGCCCTTTACTATCTCAGTTGCGTGCTTGAGCTCTGCTTGTCATATGGCCACAGCACTACCACTTTGGCCTGGAGCCTCGGTAAGATCTACCACAAAGGGTGAAAGGAAGGTCCTGGGAACCCATCTCTAATAAGACTGGAGTTCACAAATTGCCCTTCTCACCATTTAGGGTTTCCTCACTGGGATTATCACCCTTGAGCTTCGGAGAGCACCTTGCATCTGGAAGGTGAGGAAGAGGAGAGAACACAGGCCTGTCCCCCTACTGCCCAACACACACACACACACACACACACACACACACACACACACACACACACACACACACTCAACCCAAAGAGCAACTTATCCTCTCAGCTGTTTGTACCTGACCAAAGCAAGAAAGTAAAAATGTCAGAGGCCTGATGGTCCTGTTAGAATGTTAGAAGGGAAATAGCAGGATTTTGTTAGTTTTTTTTCTGCGTGTGTGTGTGTGTGTGTGTGTGTGTGTGTGTGTGTGTGTGTGTGTGTGTGTTGCTGTGGATTGAACCCAGAGCCACGTGCACAACAATAGGCAAACACTACCCCTGAGCTAAAGCCCTAGCTCCCCCCCCCCAGTAAGTTTACTCAGTATGGTCTTGAACATATTCTGGAGTCCAGTCAGGCCTAGAACTTTTGATCCTCCTGCCTCAGCCTCCCAGGTGTCAAGGATTACAGGCCTACCTATACCACCAGTCCTGCCTCTGAGTTTTGTTTTCAGCTAGGCTGTAGGTGGAGTCTGAGCTTGGCATGAGTCCCCTAGGCTGGGCAGGGCTGAGCTGGCTCACTGGTAGGTGCGGGCCATGATGATATCCAACACTTTCAACCTGATCTTGGGCTTCATCGTGGTGGTGATCGAGGTGATGAAGACAGCACTGGGGCCTGCTCCTACTGCCCCCTCCCAGGTACTGGTGAAGGCGAAGAAAGGTACAGGGGAGAAGAAAGGGCAGAAGGAAATAGGGATTGTACCCCCCAAAAGCATCCTCACCCTGCTCCTGCAGTTGACAGGGTTGCTGGTGCTAGAGCTCAGCGCTGAGGCCTTCGCCCTAGGAGGAGTGCTGGTCTCAGCATATGCCTTATTCTTGCTGAGCCAGAGGAAGCCAGGATGCTTCACAAGGTCAAGTCTGCACTACCAGGAGCTACAGGAGGTAGGGAGTGCCGGGAGGAAAACATGAAGAAGCAAGCTTCCAGCTAATTTTTCTTCTGGCTGTACTAGTCAGTGCCATTTAAGGGCAAATAGTGAGGCAGTAGGGAAATGAAGGGTTGAAACTGACTGGCTTTCTGGCATTGGATGTTAGTCCCCCAAATGATGGATGTAAAGGAATTGGGTATTTAATGACTGGGACTACACGAGTGTGCAAACATTAGTAAGCTACCTTAATGTATTACTGGAAAGACTCGAAAAGCTGGGTTTTGCTTCTACCTGGGGTTTCTCCTTTCTTGACCCTAAAATTTGCTCACATCTGTTTTTCAGGGTCTCACTGAGGTGGAGGAGGTTTCTGGTTTGGAGAGTAGTCCCGTGGTGGCTAGCACAGGAAACAACAGATGAGTGAGTGGTCAAGACAGGTGCCACTGTCCTCCTACGCCAAGGGGGGCATTCTCCAGACACTTCTGCGTTGTGCCCCTCCCTCGGAATATAACTGAACTCCCCCAAGATGTGCATGAAGCCCGGAGGAGTGCCCTCAGTCTCCCTTCAAACCAGGCCCTTATTGTCAAGCTGCTTCCTCCCTTGCATTCTTGGCCTTCTTCCTCCCTGCCTCTCCATCCAGCTTCACATCTGCCTCATCTCACTGTTTTCGTCTGTTCACCTTTCACAATCCCATCCACTCCGAGCCCGGTTGCTGCACCCGCCAACCCGGAATCCGCGTCGGTTGTGCTCCAGGTCTCCCTTGGATCCGGGTCCTGCCTAATTCACCAGACTACAAATCCCAGGATGCCCCGCTACCCCGTGACCTACTGGAAAATAAAGGGCCTTCCCTCGGCGGCGGGGGCGCTGTGCATCTGCTGAGTGACGCGAGGCGCTGGGAGCAGGGCCTAGCCGAGTTTCCTCGGACGCGACCACTGGCCCCGCGTGCAGGGAGGAGCCGGGCGGGCCGTGGCGCACAGGGGTGCCGCCACCGCGGCCAGGCAACCGCAGCCTGCTGGGGGTCTCTAGCCCTCCCGCCTGCAGCTGCGGATACTGGCAAAGGCAGGGGGCCGGCGCCTGGCCGAGCCGCACCTCCCCAGGGGCTGCCCCCGCGCCCCTCGCGCCAGTGCCCAGGTTCAAAGTCCTGAGACTTGGAGCGCGCGCGAGAAGGGGGTTGGAGATGATGAGTCAGTGGCGCCGGCCCTCCTCGCCCCCTCCCCCCGGACCGGGCGCTGGAGAGGACAGGCTGGCTGGGCAGGCGGGGGGACCGACCTAGGACTTTTTCCGCCTCCAGCGAGCACGCTGGTGGACCGAGCCCGCGTGGCCGCCACCCTTTCCAAGGCGGGAGCAGGACTGCGCAGGCTCAGGCTCTCAGCCGCCCCCGGCGGGCCTTTGATCCCTGCAGCCGTTTGGTCGCTGAAGCTCTGCTTGCACTGAGCCCACACCGCTTATGACCTCTGCAAGTGTACAAAGATGACAGGCTCGGTGGTTTGGGGGAAAGCCCAGGAAAATGGTGGATCCCGATAACACCAGGAGGCAGCTTAGGAGCCGCCGAAAAGTAGAAATGAACTAGGCCTAAGAGAACTCACCCCAAATTCACATAGTGCCCGGGATGGGTGTTCGCCTCACATCATTTTTGTTCCCACTTGAGAAGGCTTCTTTCCCCTAGAAAATGCTGCTTCTCCGGGCTCAGGCAAGCCCAGGTACCAGTGAGGCTAGAGCGCAGCCTGGCTGGCTTGCCTTGACATTGCAGTGGCGCCAGCTGCAGATCCTTTCTGTTTGTGACACCTTGGGAGTGGTAATAGTCGCCCTATGACAAAGTTACGTGTGAGTATTAGTGGGTGGAGACAGTTCTGGGATCAGGCTCTGGAATGGAGAGAACCCAATCTGGGCCTCCCCCATTTCTTCTCTCCCCCAATCAAACTGCAGGAATCATGTGTGAAGGGCTCTGAAAAGAATATTTTTCTTCAAAGTCAGGACGTGGTGGCCAAAGAAACTATAGAGGGAATCAGCAATTTGCTGTCCTCCAGCCTTTACTGTTGTGACCGGTAGCCTGGAAATTGCATTCCGGATCTTAAGAGATGCTCAATGAACGTGTTGTCTCTTAACAATGCTGAATAATCAAGGCCAAGACCCCAGTGGTTTTATTTCTCGTTTATTGTCCAAAGTAACTGGCAAGGGGCTTTGCTCGTTGTAAATTATTAAGATCCCTTAGATGCTGAGGCTCCCTTTTTTATCTTCTTATTGGCTGCCTGGAACTTGCCATGTAGACCAGGCCCTGCTTGAACTCCCATTTGATTCACGTGTTTGTGAGTGATGGCATTAAAGGCATGAGTCACCATGAAGTTTGCACACACACACACACAGTTACCAACAATGTGAACTAAGCTTGAAGAATTGTTCGTGGATTCTGCAGTGGTTTTCCCCAAATGGATGCATGTTAACTTCCATCACAACTCATTGGTCAAAGCAAATCATAAAGCCACACTCAATGTCATAGGAAAGGCAATGTGGAAAATGAAGGGAAGCAGAAACAATTTAAGGAAAAGGTTAGGAATTTGAACCTTGAATCGATAAGTAGTTGGAATGTGTCTATTTAGCAGTTATACCCGTTTCTAATTGTTTAGTTCAGCCAACTTCTACGTGAAATTCTGGATGGGAAAAATTAAGACTGGGTGTCAGGAGAACCTAGATGCTAGTTCTGTTGCTTGGGTAAGTAAAATCTGTCTGGACTATACTTTGTTCACATAGCCATTATAGCCTATTTAACCTCTTTACCTTTCTGATGCACAAGGCTGAAATAGTGTCGCACAAGGAAAAGTACTTTAAAATTAGGAGGCACTTGAGAGGTCAAAAATACGTTGTCTAATAAGGTAGATAACGGTGTGGTGTAAATGAGTGAAGTAGATAGGGACTAAATGACAGGGTTGGAGGGAACGCATGGCACACACTACAGGTGTGAAAGGGTGTATGTACTCAACACCAACTACTGCCTCGTATGGCTGTGGGAATGCCACATTTTTTAATGGAAGTCAGAAATTCTGACTTTATGTGTAAAAATTCTGATTTTAAAATATTAATGAAACATTTTTTAATTCAAGGGTCACATTCAGCCTGGAGTTCTGTAGATTTAAACGTCAGTTTCTGCATTATGCAAATAATGTTGCAAGAATTTGGTTTGAATCCCAGCACTCAGGAGGCAGAGGCAGAAGGAACACTGTGGGTTTGAGACCAGCTTGGTCTACAGAGCGAGTTCTAAGACAGCCAGAGATATTCAGGGAAACCCTGTCTCGAAAAGCCACCACCAACAACAACAAGAAAAAGAATTCTGGATTGGGGTGTACAACATGGTTTGTGTAGCTCTTGTGAAATACAGGAGTGTTGGAGGTGTTAAACATGAAGTTACCTCTCCACAGCGTTTTGCTTTTCAGAAAAGGGTCGTTTTGCCTGCTGGGGATATTTTGCATATTTGAAGAGATTTTTGGTGGTCAGCCGAGGGTGGGGGTGGTAAGGGAATGTGGAGAGGCAGGTACATTGGCATGTAAATCAGGAGCTTGCCACTAACCCCCTCCTCTAGCCATTACCTTCTGCGTCTCTCATGACTTCCCCCCTCCACACTGACTGGCCAGAGTCCCTGACTGCTCTGGAACAGCATTCTGCGTTTCGGTCATGCTCCTAGTGACCACTCCGTCTGCACCGATCTGGCAGCCTCTATGGAGGTCACCCATTTTATTTGAATCAGAACTTAACAAAAAGAGATTGTGACAAGGCCCCTGCTGACGTCAGTTTTTAAAGGTCATGACCCCCCCATTCTCTGCGTTTTACCCATTGAGGAGATAGTTCATGTTGGGTGGCTGAATTCATAGGCATCTTAAGCCCGAGAGAGTTGGGGTGGGGGAACCCATTCTGATGAATGTTACTCTCATTTCTTCGAAATTCAGCCGTTTATTCTAACTTCGAATACACTGGAATACAACGGACGATATTTCCCAACTGAGTTCTTTTCCGTTTCTCGACCTGTTTTTTTGGCTCGGATTTGAAGTCTCAGGTTGAGTCCTCTGCTGCCATCTCGTGGCCTCACGTTGCCTGGGTCGAGGTCTCGCGAAGTGTCTTCCTTCTAGAAATGGCGTTAGAAAGTGGCTTAGCTGGGGCAAAGAATTTCCTCTCCACTTTGTGAAGCCTCAGCAGATTTCCCCACCCCCATCTCACGAGCCACTGGGCTGCGGGGAAACCTGGCCTCAGCAGGGGCTGGTACAAGAGGCACTAGACCTTCCGATCATCCGCACCCCTTTGTGCCTCCGGTCGGCTCTACATTTCTGGCCTCTAGATCAGTAAACTCAGATGTCCAGCCGCAATGGACGGTGGACCTGCCTGTTTAGTCTAAGTAAGGCGCCTGGAACGGGATTCTCCTCCTCCTCCTCCTCCTCACAGTGAGAGCACCCCCGTGTGGTGTCTGGCGCCATGTTATTGTCTAGGACTGCTTATGCCCATGTCCTTCATCTGGGCTGGCCCAGCTGCTTCCGATTCCATATTCTGTCGATGTGCTGAGCAGGATGGTAGGTAGTGGAGTGGTCCCACAGTACCAGTTAGTACAAAGGGGTCTGCAAAGTAGTGATTAAGGTCTGTCACCAGGGAACTGGGAGAGTGCCCTAAGCTGGACTGCAGGTCAATCGTCAATGACTCCATTTCTGAGAGTGGGAAAGTGCTATTTCTGTTTTCATTATAATATTCAGATAGCATCTAAAATGCCAGCATTCAAAAAACACCAGTTGCTGGGGCTGGAGCTAGTGGTTAAGAGTGCTCATAACAGCACATGCATGGTGGCTCGCAACTGCCTGTAACTTTGGTTCTGCACATGGTTCGTGTGCAGGCAGGCTCATACACAGACACATAAATGAAAATGAACAGCTTCTCCCCCCCCCCAAAAAAAAAAGCCGGGCGGTGGTGGCGCACGCCTTTAATCCCAGCACTCGGGAGGCAGAGGCAGGTGGATCTCTGTGAGTTCGAGGCCAACCTGGTCTACAGAGCGAGTGCCAGGAGAGGCTCCAAAGCTACACAGGGAAACCCTGTCTCAAAAAAAAAAAAAAAAAACTTTAAAAAAAAGTTACTAACACAGTCTCAGAACTGTCCCCCGCTGACTCCTCTTACTGCCCATCCCTCATCATAAGCTAAGTGTGGCATTATGGGCCTGAAATCCTAGCACTCAGGAGCCTAACATAGGAGGACCTTGAGTTCAAAGCCAGGTTGGGCGATATAAACAGAAGGTGGGTGTACATGGATGTCTGTCTTACCTGTTTTCTCTTTATAGTGAGAGGAAAGGGCCTGCTGGTGTAATTTCCTAGGCCCCTGGACAGGAGCGAGTAGCCATAACTAGAGATAATTTGCTAGGAATCTTTTGTTTGTTGTCCCACTATCTAATAATACAGAGGTCGAAAAGTGGCCGGAGCCTTTAATCCCAGCACTCAGGAGGCAGAAGTAAAGCAGATCTCCGAGTCTGAATTGAGTTAGAAGCTAGCCTGGTCTACAAAGGGAGTTCCAGGACTGCCAGGGCTATACAAAGAAACTCTTATCTCAAAACAACAAAACAAAATAAAAATTAAAAAACTACACTTAAAAGATAATATAACTAAAAATAATATATCCAGTAGATGGGTATCATCTACTGTTCTTTTGTTTTCCTTCT